TAAAAAAAACATAAATAAATAAACAAAACAGTGTTTAGAACAGAATAAGTCTTTTATATAGCTAAATAAAATCACACCAAATATATAAACAAAAAAGGATACTATTAAGAAGTTAACCACACCGCTAGAACTGATGATTGTTTATTATCAGCATATATTTTAGTCTCATATCAATAGGATAGGTAGGTAATTATTCCTAAGAAAGTTATCAAAGTCAGGTTAGAGCTTTTCCACTGAACTAGTCTCCGGGGCTAGATGCAGAATTCCTGGCGTTGGACGTTAGACAAAAGTCCTGACGTTGAGCCCAGTCAAGCGGGTTTTTTCCACGCCAAACGTTAGTCTATTGACGTCTGACCTGGAGACCGTTCAAATTCGAAATTACTCGGTCCGGAAAGCTGTTTTGTTAACATTCAACCTCTTCGCAGATAATAAGATAAAAATATCAATCAACAAAACGAAATGGGCCCAGGGGTTTGTTAGCTTATGGACCCTCGTCTATATTCTTTGAAAGATTTTGTTTTAATATTTTAGAATCAAAAGTAAAAAACAGTGACTGATTTTATTATTTTAAACATTTCCACCACCCGTTCTTACGACCAGGATTTTTGAAAAACGGTGGTAATACTCCATACTGATGATTAAATTTTTTTTAATATTTTGAATGAGACCTCTAAAATCCAGAAAAACCACTCCCCATCCGATTAAAGTCTTAATGATACTTAAACACCACTCCCCATCCTAGTCTTAACTACTTGAAACTTCACTGCTCCACCATTCCCCCCCCCCTCTCGGGGAGGTCGTTAGCAGTGAAGGCCATCTAGTTACCTGAAATCCAGTTGTTTTCTCTTTTGACAGGCGTCTTTTCCTTCATCGTCAGTTCAAAGGGCGATTCAAGTCTAGAATAGCTTGCCTTTTATATCTGAGAATACATTAATGTCGGAAAGAGATAAAGTTTCTCAATTGCACTATTCAACAATTGGGCTACTTTAGGACACACAGGAGGAGGATGCCATCACGGAAAGCATGCCGCATGCCTATGGTACAAAAAAATCAAGTACGTATTTATTCGAATAAGCGCCCAACCTCGAATTAGCGCCCGCCTCGAATAAGCGCCCATCCTAAAGGAAGAAAAAGTTGATAAGCGCCCAGCCTCGAATAAGCGCCCAGCGCCACCCCTGTTCCTCCCCCCACCCTAAAACAATTGAATAAGTACTAATAAGAGACTTCTCGAAGACGGAGTTTTCTTCAGAGTATTTTACAGAAACCTTGCTTTGTTACGTCTTCGCGGTTTGTTATTACTGCTGTTGTTTTGTTGCAAAATAAACATGCTACACTTACTGAAAATGGTGAAAATTTAATAGGCGCAAATCCTTGAATAAGCGCCCACCTCAAATAAGCACTCACCCTCAAGGTCCAAAAATTTAATAAGCGCCCAGGGCGGTTAATCGAATAAATACTAATATATAATCAAGGCAGATGTTTATTTTATCGGTAATTCAGTGATAATGTCTCAGAGTATTGCTTGCTTTCGATTATGGTCGATTCTGGAACACGTGACCAACAATATGAATAAGAGTTGCTTACTGACTGGCTCCAGTGTTCAAGCGTTGGACAGCGCTATCCAGCGGATAAATCACTATCCAGCAGATAAGTATTAGAGAAACCAATTCTACTACCCAGTGGATAGCGGTATTCACGTCTTAAAAAACTTGTGCCTGGGCTTTATGTGTAGTCGGTCAGCAAAATTATCAGTAAAGTGACAATGTGATAGTGGCGGTTTAGGAGGTGGGACGCCGTGAGCAAAACGCCGTAACGTTGTGAAATGGCTTTCAAACCTCGTCCCCAGGGTCTCTGTGGGAGGGGAAGAAGAGAAGGCCCTAGAAAGAAGGTCTTGGCTGCCTTCATAGCTCCCATATATAAAAAGTTAGGACCCTGTGTGAAATACTTTTCATGGAAATGCCATATATAAGTCCCAAACTTTCTTGATTCTTCATTTTTCTCCTGAACGAGTTGACCAATTGTGTTACTGGGTCTCGTTAAAACAATTTCATAGTTTTCACCTTTCGTTAGAGCTGGCAAGTAACAATTGGGACTTTTCTCAACTGAACATCGCCATTCTTTTTAATTCCGCTTTGTTTTGCAAATAAGGGACCGGTCATTATTCATCGCCGGGGGACTGGAGGCGAAGGATTTGGGGCTAAACAAGGTGAAATTTAGCCGATCCCCCATTTGAATGTTACTTCACTGAAGTGATCCCCTCTAATAACATTTGATGGCTTTCGTGATCCCCTTTACGTGTCTTCATTTTCCAAGCAAATTTGAGTGGTCCCCCCTCTGATTATCCTTCCAAAGTTTTCAGCAATCTCCCCTTTTGGGTTCTCAGTTACGACTGATCCCCCCATTTTGAGTCCCCCAGAAATGAAGCGATCCCCCTCTAAAATCCCCGCGCAACCCCCCCCCCCCCCGGCGATAAATAATGACCGGTCCGTAAATTATCACCGGTCCGTTGAGGTGAATTAGTTGAGTCAAAAGGCTCCTGGTTGAGTTTGATCCTCCGGGTGAACGTAGTCCTGAATAGGACTGTTGTTGTTCACAGTGACTCTCTCTCCTCCGCAGAGGCCTCTTTGTTTTATGGGGAGGCTTTTGTGTTGTGGGAAGGCTGGGGAGAAAGTAAAAGAGAACGCGCGGGGCACGATGGGCTTGGCATTTTTTTTTCGATTATTGATATTTTGATGGGGATACCCAGCGGGAGCCTCTGCGGAGGAGAGAGACAGTGACTGACGTTTTTTCGACCTGTGTGGTAGTCATCTTCAGAGTCTGCTTATTGATCTGATTGGTCAATTATGTCGCGACCAATACCATCAACTGACGTTATACAACTCACTTTGACTCTGACGATGACTATCGCACAGGTTGTCAAAATGCCAGTCACTGTCAACAACAATGCAACAGTCCTGTCACGACTAGGTTCACCCGGACGATCAAACAATGACTCCTGTGTGCAAACCTTTTACAAGGTAGATTTGATATTATGCAAATAAGAGCCAATTCAATTCTAGGGTCACTGTAAAGTACATCAACTTTGGCAGTTTTATTGTAGAAATTTCCTCCTTTCAAAAGACCAATTTCCAGCTTTGGGCCACTTTTATTACCTCCATTGTTAAATCTTTTTGTTGCCTTTCCTGACATACGTTTTAAAATTATATAGTACGGTCTCAATTTTGTATTGAGGCCTAATTTATATTTTCATAAAATTTCACCTTTTTTAAAATAACAGTCTGGCTTATACCGTTTGCTAAAATTTAACAGGTTCAACGAATCCGTTGTTGGACTTATCAGAGTTGATTTTTAGATGCTTTTCAGTACTTCAGCTTTTTGCGAAACCTTTGCTTAGGGGCCGACCATTTAACTCTTGACGGGGGGGGGGGGGTGATTTTTGGTCGGCAAGAATTTTTTTTTCTAGCAATCTGGTGGGCAGGATATTTTTTTCCCTTCTAAATGCTCTGCAGGATATTTTTTTTCTCTCCTCATTTCTCTGCAGGATTTTTTTTTTTCCTCAAAAAAGGGTCATGTGTTTACATATACAAAATGTATTTACACTTACATTCTGGTCATTGCAGTAATAGTTCTAATATGGAGCTGCAAAGCCTTAAAATGTTGTAAGCTGTACAAAATCATTATTGTATAGCTATCTTCTCAGAAAGTCATTATTTACACTCATTTTATTACGTCAAAATAAAGTGATGCACCACAGGCAGATGTGAAAGTGTTTAGTTTCTTAATTAAAAAAAAATAGCCAAAAATAGCAAAAAGCAGTTTAGAAATGCTCATAGCATGGTAATTGCTGCTAGAATCATTAGTTGCAATTTAAAAGTAGACTGAAATATCCAAAACCAATGTGAAAGCAAAATTGAAGTTAGTTGATCATGGTCTAATTGAAAAATAGCTCTAATAATTTTTGCTCAGTCTTTTTTCAGTCCACTTCTATACAGTTGCAGCATTCAGCCATGTTCATTGCTGCTGTTAATTTTTATCTTGCAGCGCAATTTTTATTCATGAAATATACAGCTACTTTTTATGCACCTATCAATGTCTTGCCCAAACAGAGGGAGTGCGGAAATAGGTGGGGCATTTGACCAGTGAACTTTGTCCAAGGGAGGGGATGTTTTGAATAAGAATTAAGGTTTGAAATGGCAGAGGGTGTGGAATTTGAAATTTATTGACCAAAAATATTTGAAATCAATTGTCAATAGCCCCTGGGTATACCTGCACTCCCCCAATTGGGGCTAGACATCGATAGGTGCATTACTAAAACTTAAAAAAATATATTATATTTATTTAAATAGAAAATAATTACATAAAAATGTTTCTGTTAAAAATGAAAAAAAAAACTTCCTTTGTCTATAAAAACTTGATTCTTTAATAAAAAAAATTACCTCCATTTATAATACTGCTTGTGATAAGCTAATAATGCATTGCACATATGAAGCAATAATTTTGCAGCATCATCAAATCCAGAGTTCAAAGTGAGCAAGGGAAGAGAATGGTTGCAGTTTTGCTGCGATTTTTTAAAGACCCCCGGAATGATGAAATAGCTTTGCAACATTTTTTTTTCTTTCTTACAGCAGCGCAAGAATTTTTTTCTATTACATTTGTGCTGCATGCAATTTTTTTCTTCCGACAAGCGCTTGCAGGAAATTTTTTTTCAAAATCACCCACCCCTCCCCCCCTCAAGAGTTAAATGGTCGGCCCCTTATAAGGACTCTAATTTCTCACGATAAAATTAGAGAAACAAAGAATAATATTACTAACTTCATGTCAGTGTCAGATTTGTGACACCGTTTCATTAACACTGCCTATCAAAAACTGTGCAATCGATGTAATCTTGTCAATGATATTATAATTATAGCGACCATCAATCAATATTTATTTAAAAGTGGATATTGACGTGCCTGAATTTATAATTTTAAAAGGCATCT